TACTGGCCGTTAAACCGGATACGTCATCTGTAATAAACTCGTCACCACATAACGATGGACCTTGAAACAAAAAATACAAGCACTTGTAGCAATAAGGATCTGACGTACGACTCCATATATGGACATATACAGTGTTACTGATGTACATACATGTCTCTTATGTATACATATTGTGTAGACATGAATAGTCTTCTTGACGGTTCCCTGCGCCATCTTGAAAGGTAGCCGTACCTTTGCATCAAAGCGAGACAACCGTTGAGCGTGCAATGATAGAAATCTTCTTTTACACCTACAGAAAATTATTCACAGGTATCTATCATTGCACGCTCAACGGTCGTCTCGCTTCGATGTAAACGCAAGGCCACCTTTCAAGATGGCGCACCTAACCGTGAAGGAGGCTATTAAATGGCGATTATGAAGATTTAAACCCGGCGCTATTTATTGCCCAACCCTATATCATGAGATCAGTTTGCTTGAATGAACCTGCATTTTTGTGGTATAACAACATTCATGAATAACTACGTGTACGTAGATAACATAGTACAGCTATTTCAGAAAACGTTGAACACCGAATACTGCATTCTCTATAGTGTATTCCAAGACCGCAATGCATTGTTGCTATTAAACTCCACGTTAACTGCATTCTAAAATAACATTTCTTAACTTTAATTACTTTCCATTGAAGTCCTTGCCAGTTACTATGGAACCGCGGCTATATAACGACCAACAATGCATGGCGTTTCTTGGAATACACTAAATATCAGTATTCAACGTTTTCATAGATTGCTGTATACGAAGCTTCAGTTTGGACATGAGAGGCCTTCTGTATGTACCTCAGTGACCCTGTACATCTACATCTATATTTTGAAGAGGGACGAGATTTCCTACTCAAATAAAATACCGTATTTGGAATCAACGAAGTCCTACAAATGAAAACTAATGATCGCTGACTTCCAATTTATTAGAGAACATTCTTTTTTTCATTTTTGTACAGCAGATCTTGAAAAGATTGTCAACACAATGAGACATTTCCAATGTTCCATCTTTTATGTGAATTATGGAAATAATCTATTTTACTTTCGTGCGAAATGGTCTAGATTGCAAGGTGTGTTTTAGTGAAGAAATGGCAAGGTATTTCAAAATTCTATTTAACAAATATAAAACGGCGCGCGCTCTGTCCTCTTATATAAACACGTTAGTCAAATAATCAGAGCGTGTTATATATAAAAATAAATGGACATTAGAGAATACTCCGCGTGCAGAAACTGAATGTATATATCAAAACACGTGACATTGAAACGTTGAAAATGTCTTTTTAGGTCAACAGTCTTTTAAAGATGGGCTGTGTGCTCAATGTGCCTTGTTTGTAGATTGACATACCTCTAAGACCAAGTAATAATGACATGTTCGGGTCCTGTCCATTCCTCCTGGCCGTGCATAGCTGTACTATCGCTTTAAGGTCTGATACACACTTAGAAAACTATTACAAAATAAAAGAAAAATGGAAACATACAGTAATATTTCAAACAATGTAAATACATCGATGAAATATTTACCTCATTCCACAGCTTTCTACTCAGGTGGATTTTCTCGGTTTC